GCAGCAGCTAAAAAGGCCAATGCAATTTTAGGCTACGTCAATAGAACTATAGTATCTAGATCAAGGGAAGTAATAGTGCTGCTGTATTCTGCTCTGGTCAGGTCCCACCTCGAATACTGTGTCCAGTTCTGGGCACCAACATTCAAAAAGGATGTGGAGAAACTGGAGCATGTCCAAAGGAGAGCAACTAAAATGGTGAAGGGTCTAGAAACCATGCCCTATGAGGAACGACTTAGGGAACTGGGTATGTTTAGCCTGGAGAAGAGACAGTTAAGAGGTAATATGATAGCCCTGTTTAAATATTGGAAGGAATGTCATATTGAGGAGGGTACTAGCTTGTTTTCTGCTGCTGCAGAGAATAGGACCCAGAACAGTGGATGCAAGCTACAGGAAAAGCGATTCCACCTCAACATTAGGAGGAACTTCCTGACAGTAAGGTCTGTTCAACAATGGAACACACTCCCTCGGAGTGTGGTGGAGTCTCCTTCTTTGGAGGTCTTTAAACAGAAGCTGGATGGCCATCTGTTAGGTATGCTTTGATTGAGAGTTCCTGCATGGCAGGGGGTTGGACTGAATGGCCCTTGAGGTCTTTTCCAATTCTATGATTCTATGAAACACAGAGCTTGTTTTCAAAAATTGTTTTTGTTTGTTTGTTTGTTTTTTGCAGTATACTCCTGTACTCATGCCTGGGGATTCTGGAAGTTGTAGTCCCAAAAATGAACTTTTCCAAGCTCTGGATGAACATCAGAACATCAGATTGCATACTGCTAATTGAGGAAAGCAAAGGCAACCCCTCTCTGAACAAATCTTACCAAGAAAACCCTGTGATAAGTTAGCATAAGTCAGAAATGATTTGAAGGCACACAGCAACAACAGAGTACAGTTGCTTTAGCTATATAGAGAAGATTTGAATATATTTGCATCATCTTATAATGTAAAATTTAACAACTTCTTTTTCTTTTCTTTTGAGTGCTCTTAAGGAATTAAATATGACACCTGTGCATACTGAATCCAGAGACATGGCCAACTTCTCTTCTTTGCAAAATCTTACAACTACTTTTGGAAACTGCTCTGATGAAGGTCACTCTTTCCAGAATGTCTATTTGTCCTTAATTTATACTGTTCTCTTCTTGGTGTGCTTTCCAGGGAACATTCTTGTGATTTTTGTATATGTCTTCAAAATGAAGCCTTGGAAAAGCAGCACTATCATTATGTTAAACCTGGCCATTACTGACCTGCTGTATGTCTCTTGCCTTCCATTCTTGATTCATTATGCCATCAATGGAGAAAACTGGATCTTTGGAAACTTCATGTGTAAGTTCATCCGATTCAACTTCTACTTCAACACGTACAGCAGCATCTTCTTCCTCACCTGCTTTAGCCTCTTCCGTTTTGTTGTTATAATCTATCCCATGAGTTGCTTTTCCATTCAGAAGTGGAGGTGGGCCATTGTGGCATGCGTTGCAGTCTGGGTTCTTTCGCTGTTGGCTGTCAGCCCAATAATCTACCTGATCACAACAAAACAAAGCTCTAATGGACTGGTTTGCATGGACCTGACAAATTCTGAACCCCTGAATTCTGCAAGGTGGTTTAATTGGATCCTAACCATATTTGGCTTCTTTTTGCCTTTGGTAGCTGTGACTCTTTGCTATGCTGTGATTATCTACACATTGGCCCAAGGGCCCAGCACAGGCACCACTCACAAGCAAAAAGCCCGTGTGCTAGCCATTGTCCTTCTGGCTGTCTTTTACGTGTGTTTCTTGCCTTTTCACATATTTCGAGGAGTTCGTATTGAGTTAAAGCTACATCCTGTAGACTGCAGCACAATGAAGCAGGTCCGAGACATATTTACTGTAACTAGATCCTTAGCTTCATTAAATACCTTTGGCAATTTAATCCTTTATGTTGTGCTTGGAGATAATTTCCAGCAGGCTATTCTTTCAATTTGTAAAATGTTCATAAAATCACATTAAAAATAGATCTGGAATAAAATGATATTGCTTTTCCAAGAAGGGATGTGGTTGTAGTTTCCCTAAGCATGTGTAATTTCAGCTGAAGAACAGGACCTGTCCATATGTATATATGTATCAGTCATTTTCAGTTGTTTCTAGAAATAAATTTTAAACCCTTTTTTGTTGTTGTTTCTCAAGATGTCAGATCTGTTGCATTTCACTGGGTTCTTAGCATTCATGATATGGGCCTTATCCTATTCTCCTGGTGTAGTTTTATAAACAAAATTGCTTAGCAATTAGGTCTTTGTGGAATGAATGCCATTTCTGCCAATAAACACTTGGCACATGGATTCATACCAAGCTGTGGATATATGGATTCCTTCCTTACAGTTACCATCTTATATGTTTTTTCTGGCTGCACCTGATAACATAAATGGATGTGACCTGATAATTTTGGGGTATGTAGCGTGGTGCCCTTTGAGGCCACCACGCTCTGACTTTGCTTCTGTGGCTTCCATGTTCTCCTCACACTCGCCTAAGCAGACTACAAGAAATAGTGCACATTAAATTGAGGCGCTGCCCTGGCTCAGTGCTAGGGAACCATGGGAACTGTATTTTATTGTGGCACCAGAGCTCTCTGACAAAGAAGGCTCAATGTCTCAGAAAAAAATCAATTCCCATGATTCCCTAGTACTAACCCTAACCCTAAAACTGGACTCAATTTGCACTATTTCTGGCAGTCTGCAACCCCCTTTTATTTCTGTCATGATTTATGTGATGTGGGGCCAGAGACCCCTGGGTTTGAAAGTTATATATCCATCAAGGTTTCGGCAGGAGCCCAATGATGCTGACCTCCAGCATCAGGCCCAGTGACACTTCCAGGTTAAGAGTGTCTAACAAGGGTGCCATGTCTGAGGATCCTGCAACACTTTAAGTCTATTTTTAAAATGTTTCCTTTTCCCAATCCCCTGCCCTTTTGTTGTTGTTAACTTCCTTTGCGTTGATCTTGATCCATGGCGGACCTATGGATGAGACATCTCCAGCCCCCCCCCCCCCCCCCCCCCCCCGGTCCTCTACTGCTCTGCCCAGCTCCTGCAAACTCATATTCATGGTCTCTTTAATAAAGTCCATCCATCTGGCATGTGGCCTTTCTCCCCTGCCCTTAGCAACAGGCTTATGTCATAGCTGAAGTGGGAAAATCTGACCCAGACTCAGTCATGTCAAAAGCTTCTCCAGCCACACTCTCATGGATAGATATATGTCCAGCCAGTTTTGTGGGTAGCTTTTAAAAAAGGTTCCTCAGGTTGAAAACTATCTTGAGGCCTAAGACAATTTCATGATCCTCAAAGCTGCAACATAAACCATGACAATAAAAGCTGAACTAAAC